CCTGCCTTCCCGCTGAGATTCCTCAGTCTGTTCCATGGCTTCTATGTCTCTGGATCTATTTTGTTCATCGGATTATTGTGTTCATTAGATGCCATCTATGAGTAAGATCATGTGATACTTGTCTTCCTCTGACTGGCTTGTTTCGCTTAGCATAATACTCTCCAGGTCCCACTGTGCTGTCTTATAGGGTCAGGGATCCTTGTTTTTACAGCTGTGTAGTATTCCATGGTGTAAATATCTGAGGAGATGCTTGATATGATTTCAGTCTTCCTGAACTTGTAGAGACTTGTTTTGTGTCCTAACATGTGGTCTGTCTTTGAGAATGTCCCATGTGCACTTGAGGAGAATGATTATTCTGCAGCTTTGGGGTGAAATGTTCTGTAAATGTCAATTAAATCCATCTGATCTAGCGTGTCATTTAGGGTCACTGTTTCCTTGTTGATTTTTTGTCTGGAAGATCTATCCAGTAAAGTCAGTGGGGTGTTAAAGTCCCCTCCTGTGACTGTATTGCTGTCGATCTCTCCCTTAATGTCCTCAAGAAGTTTGGTTTGGTTTGGTTTGGTTTGGTTTCCAGCCTGTGTGAGTCTTTTGCTCTGAGTGAGTCCCTTGTAGACAGCATATATCTGGGTCTTGATTTCTTACCCATTCAGCTACCCTATGTCCTTTGATTGGAGCATTCAATCCATTTACATTTAAGCCCCTTTGAATGCTGCTCATGCACTTCTGCGTTTCTGAGCCCTGACTCTTCAAAGTAAGCTGAAGTGTGTCAGCTCAACAAATGGCCAGGGGTAGGTAGGCTGGTTTCAAAAGCACAATTAAAACAGCTTATACCCTCTTCATTTATAGATTTCCTTTATGGTTTCCTACTTAGGCAGTGTCCAGAGCACAACTGTCCACCCTGGCCCTTCCTTGAGGAAAGACAGTCATTCTGTGACCTTGATCAAGCGTTACCCTCTCTGAGCTTGGACTTCGTCATCTATAAAGTGGGGAGGAGACTGGACCCCCTGCCTTCTTCATGGGGTTGTTGTGAGGATCAAAGGAAAGGAAAGTGCTGTGTGAACAGGAGAGGGCTGGACACGTGAGGGGTGAATCATCTCCCTGGATGAAAGGAAGGTATTTGCCCCGGGCAGTGGGGAGAACAGAAAAGGCATTAAAGCAACTCTTCAGTGCACATTAAATTCTTGGGCTCTTTGAAAAGTGTGTAATGTCCTCACAGCAACCCGGAAGAGTAGGTAGAAGCAGGACTTAGGATCCTGTTGGCATTTTTTGATAAGCTCAGAGAGGCTAGGTGACTTCCAGCAGCTCACATGGCCCAAGGGCAGGGGCAGGCCTCACAGCCTCACTTCATCTAAGCAGTGAGCTGTCCTGGCGAGCTGGGAAGGGGAGGGCCCAAGCCCACCAGTGTTTGTCCCTGTACTGTTTTGAATTGTAAGCCTCCGGGCTTTAGCCGCCACCCAGGCAGCATGTCATTCCCACTCGCACCCAGGGCCTGTGGGCTGCTGCCGGCCACCTGTGAGCGGGCACGGCACGGGACCGCCTGTGGGTGTCAAGCCACGAACCAGGAGTCACGCCTGGCTGCTGCTCCGACACGTGGTGCTCTGAGGAACACCGGATGTTAGCCGGGGGAGTCACATGCCACGGTCAGCGCAAGGTGCCACCGAGGGCCAGGGAAACTTTCTGGGGTAGCTAGTCCGACCTCTGAATGTTTGTTGTAGAATTCTGGAATGGCCGAGGTGGGCGGATCTTTGAGATCATCTTGTTTTAATGCCTCTGGAGACTAAGACCCAGAGAGTTTAGCGAACTTGACAGAGACCATTCAGCAAATTACCAAAAGGGCCATAAGACTCCTTCACCGACTCTGGCACGCTTTCCTTGAGACCAAGGTCTTTTACAAAGTTATAAAAAGGCTTGTTCTATAACCCGAGTTCCCAGCATATGGAAATTTATTCTGTGGCCAGGTCTACCAGGCCAATATTTGCAGCTGCCCTTGCCTATCAGTCCATCTAGTTTTATCATCAGAATGCCAAAGGATGATATAGGATTTACACTGCCACAGCCTCTGGGTAGACACGACCTCTAGTCTGATGAAATTACAAAAACATTAAAGAGAATATGGAAAATCCCACGCCACCATTCTCTATATACTCCGTGTCCTGTGCTGACCACCACAGGGAGACACCACTGCCCATTACAGATCCCTTTCCAACCAGAGACCAGTGTACCCTCCCGTCTTCATCTGCTGATGCCGCCCAAGACCCCACACCCACACCCTGTGCCCCTAGACCAGCAAGGAGGCTCCAGGGAGCATCCTAAGAGGAGAGAACATTCCAGAAGCTGACTTGACTGACTTTATGACCTCAGACAAGGACAATGCTTTACTTTTATTTTTGATTTTATTTAAATTTTTAAAAAATCCTCAACCGAGGATATACTCATTGATTTTAGAGGGTGGGGGAGACATAGAGAGTAGATAGAGATAGAGACAGAGACAGAGAGAACAGCAATTGGTTGCCTGCCATGCATGCCCTCACCAGGACTCGAACCAGCAGCCTTTTGGCGCATGGGACAGCGCTCCGACCGACTGAGCCACCCCGGCCAGGGCAGGGATGCTTGGCTTTGAGACTGTATTTTCCCCAGCTTACTCATGGGGCCAGTTGAGGCAGAGCCAGAGTCAGGAAGGAACAGGCTGAAAGTGAGCAGGCGGTGCCTGGGCGGCACAGGCTGGAGCCCGGCTCCCCCTGCGCTAACATCCTCCGTGGCTCCCAGCTGCAGCTTCCCCTCAGCTGCCTGGGCCAGAGCGTTAGAGGGGACCAGGGACCCTCAAAGTGGGGGGGGCACTGTAGTGATTAGTGAGCTCCTATCAGAAGGGACTCTCAGGGAGCTGTGCGGGGGAGGCACATGGTGTCCCCATCAGAAGGCCTCCTCCCCAAATGAATCACTTAGGAGGCCTCGCCTCTAGTTAGCCGACCTCCAGCTTCCCCATGGCAACAGCCTCCAACCAGAGCACACCTGAAGCCTTTTCACTCTCAAGCTTTCCCACTCCCCCACCTGCCCTGGAGTCTCTGCCCAACACAGGGACAGTGGCTGACCCCCTGGCTATAGCAACCTCTGAATAAATAGCCTCCATTTGTTCTCATTTGGGAAGTTTTCATTTTCCCCTGAATTAAGGAATTTGTTCATCTAAAATCTCCCTAAAGAGAGTGGAAAGCTTCAGAGTATCCGGTATCTGCGGTGTTTATAACCCGCAGAGACAGCGCACAGCAGATATGAAAATTCCTGAAAGTCAATGAAGAAAAGACAAACCATAGGAAAATGGGAAACACGCTTGAACAGGTACTTTATGAAAGCGGAATTCAAATGGTCAACAAACATTTTTTTAAAAAGCACTGCAGCCTTGTTAGCAATTAGGAAATGCAATCACCCTATGCAATAAGTATAGCAGGCGTTACATCCCCCCACCTCCACCCCGCCCGCCTTGCACCCCCACCTAAAGCCTGCCAACCTTGCACACACACTTCCCCAGACTCAGAGGGTGTCTGACTTGTCCAAGGTGAGCAGCAGGACTGGCGCTTGGACCCCCAGGCCAGGCTTCTGTCCCATGCCTCCTTCCTTCCCTCTGTGGCCTCCAGGGCAACACTCTGGGCCCAAGCCCCTTATCTGCAGAGGCTAATATATCGTCTTTAAGGCCCTCCTCAGTTTAAAGGATTCTGCCTTTTTAAAGAAAGGGGGGAGGGAGGAGCCAGGGGTCGGATGACGAAGGGCAGAGAGGGACAGTGGCAGAAGCTCAATCGTCTCCTAACTCTTGGAGTCGGGAGAAACTAGCCCACTCTCTCCCATCAGGGTCAACAGCCCTGGAGAATGTGGCAAGCCTTTAGAATTTATCATCGTGAAACCTGCCGTCCTCTGTCCTTTTAGCAAAAATGAAAATCAGAAACAGAATGACCCAAACGTGCATATCGCTAGTAACGGCATTTCCATGTTAAGGATGGGAAGGAAAAACCCAGGCCCAGGGAGGGAGCACTGCCCCAGGCCACGCAGCACAGAGACTAGAGTCCAGCTCCCTGTGGCTCCCTGCACCATGGAGCTGCTGCTTCGTCCTACCTGCCCCAAGACCTGCCTCTGGCCCCACAGCCCTGGGCAGCCTACAGCCTGCTCGGGCCTAAACTGTGCATTTCGTGCTGATGAAAAGGGCACATTCCTCCCCCAGGCTCCATGTCTTACCAACTTGGGCCCCCAGCAGGGATGACCCATGGGCAGACTTACCTGGGCCCAGAAGCAGCAGCAGCCCCAGGAGGAAAAGGTGTGGCCGCAGCCCCATGTCGGAATCTTCCAGGTGTCGCGGGCCTGGGATGAACCGTTTCGGCAGATGGACGGGCTCTCGTGCCTTCTCCTTTTATACGCCTCTGTTGTCTGATAACGCGCCTGTCATAAATGTTACTGGGTTCACCTTTGAAAGGGGTCAGTGGCCGGCTGCAAATGATAAACATTAACATTTAGGCAGATTTCTCTAGGTGGATGGGTCAAAGGTGGGTAGCATGTTCTAGACAAAGGCACCAGAAGACCAGGCCCACACAGTTCCCTTCAGATGGCCTCCCAGGATGGTGGGTGCCCAGACATTGCCACTGTTGGGACTGGTCTGCTGGGAGGAGTGGGGCCTGGAAATCCAGGTGCGGGACTGGAATCCCAGACCTGCCTGCGCTGTGAGAACGTGGGTGTGTCCCTGAGCGTGGCCTCAGCTGTCAGTTGTAAGCGATGGAAATAAAAGCCTTGAAAGGAGTGGAGCTGCTTAGTAACAACTGTGAAGCATGAAGCCACTTCCAAATGTGAGATCTCATCGTATGACATGTGTTCCCACGGTGTCCCCGGAGCGCCGCTGGGTACCCTGGTCTCCACGACGCACAGAGGTTTGTTTCTGTTGTTTCCCGCTTGCCCCCTAAGCACGGGTGGCCAGAGTGTTGGCCTGAAGTGCACACCACACACATGTTCAATCAAGAGACACAAACCAGAGGTGAGCAGTGGAACTCATTGGACAGAATCAACAGTTTCCTCTGGGCAAACTGTCGGAATGCTGGCCTGGGTCTAACGTGGGCAGGCCAATCTGAAACTAAAACCTGGGGTGACAAAATACCCTCAAGGGCTAAATTTAAATTTCCCTCCCGAATATCAAGGAAGAAATACCTTTGGTCAATACAAACAAATATATTTAAATCACCCTTGCATGTGACCACCTGACTTCTGAGCTCTAGCCAGGTGTCTGGAGCTGGTTTCTATTACCCAACCTCAGCTCTTGATCTGCTGACATGTTTCTCATGTTTAAAATCACAGTTATAGCTTGGTTATCTTGAGTATAAAGTGAAGACTAAGGTTGTAAGAGCACCTTTCCCTGACTGTGACTTTCAACTGACTAATCAGGAGTCGTCTCACCCATGTCCCCTTCTGGGAAAAACTGCCTCTTTCGGGTGCCCCATTACCCATTATAACTCCTATACTTCTCTAAGTGGCAGAACTTTACCAAGGATTGGGGCCTTCAATGGGCACTTTGGGGAACACTTAACTAGAATTGCTCATTTGAGAGGTGCCTTCAAACAAAACGGAATAAAATTCCTCAGGCCCAATGAGCTCCAGTTTTTTATTGGTACCCTGATGCTTCTAAAAAGAATTCCAATTCTGAAATTCCAGTGCTTCAAAGGATTTTTTGGTCATGTCTAAACAAGGAACTTGATGACTTAAAGTGTAAAAACTACCTAGGATAAAACTGCCTCCCTCACTAAATGGCCACCCTCCAGTACCCCCTCTTTACCACTCCCTCTTCCACTTCTGTGTGGATCTGACCCCAATCCCTCCACCCTCTCTCTCTTCCTTCCCCTCACCTGGATCCCTTGCCTTTTCCTAACAAGCCCCCTACAGTCCAAAACACCAGTTTCCTTTACAAATACACCTCTTTTGAGAACCACACATGCCTTGTACCACAGAGTTTAAACCCTGGTCTTGGTAGAACTAAGAGCTACTGTCCAAGAGCTCCCCAAACCCTAATAAGACAGACACCTCTTTACTGAAAACTCCAGATTTTCCCAGGGGCCTATAATCCAGGCCTGCCAGACCTCTGCTAACTAATTCACATGTTGGTAGGAAGATCAAATCCTAAATTATCAATGAAAAAGGCAGCGTAAAGTAACCCAGGCTCAGACTTCAGGGATCCCAGCATGCTTGCTGAACCAGCAGGCTTCAAGAAAGCCCAGAAAACAGGTCAGAATTTACTAAAAGTGAATTCTGGGACCTTCCCTGTAAAACTGATTGGAACCAAGAGAATGAGAAGACAAGCCACAGGCAGGGAGAAAATATTTGCAAAAGTGAAATCTGATATAGGGCTGTTATCCAAAATACACAAAGAACTCTTAAAACTCAACAAGTAGAAAACGCACAACCTGATTTTTAAAATGGGAAAAACACCTCGACACCTCCCCAAAGAAGATATACAGATGGCAAATAAGCATATGAAAAATGCTCCATATCCTATGTTATTGGGGAACTACAAATTAAAACAAGATACACTAGACACCTATTAGAATGGCTAAAATCCAAAACACTGACACACCAAAGGCTAGCAAGAATGCAGAACAACAGAAAATCTCATTTATTACTTCTAGGATTGCAAAATGACACAGCCACTTTGGAAGACAGTGTGTCAGTTTCTTATAAAACTAAACATACTTTTACCATACAATCCCACAATCACTTCTTGGTATTTACCCAGAAGAGCTGAAAACATGTCCACACAAAAACCTGCACACAGATGTTTATAGCAGCTTCATTCATAATTTCCAAAACTTGGGAGCAACCAACATGTCCTTCAGTGGGTGGATGGATAGATAAACTGTGGCACATCTAGACAATGGAATATTAATCAGTGCTAAAAAGAAGTGAGTGATCAAGTCATGAAAAGACAGAGAGGAATCTACAATGCATATTGCTACGTGAAAGAAGCCAAACTGAAAAGGTTATATCCTGTTTCATTCCAACTTTATGATATTCTAGAAAATGCAGAACTCTGGATATAACAAGAGCAAGGGTTAGGAGGGAGGGACAGATGAAGAAGTAGAGCACAGAGGATTTCTAGGGCAGTGAAGTTATTCTGTATAATAGTATAATCGTGGGTACATGCCATTTTAGTGTTCCATTTTTACATTTGTCAGCACCCACAGGATGTACACCAAAAGTAAACTGTGGACATTGGGTGGCAATGATGCGTGAAAGTAGAGTCACTGATGGTGACAGATGTACCCTCTGGAGCAGGATGTTGATGGTGGGGAGTGGGGGAGGGGTCCTGAGATACATGAATATTCTCTGTACTTCCCTCTCAACTTTGCTGTGGACCTAAAACTCCTCTAAAAAATAAAGTTGATTAAAAAAATTAAATAACAAAAAAAATGATTGGATCTTGATTCAGTCTGGTAAGCAGAGAAAAGATGAATCAAAAGGAGATTTTAGGGACAGACGAGAAATTACAAGAATTACCTTCCAACAAGATTCAGGAGTCAGTCTCAAAGCTGTCTGTTCATCTCACTTTGTAAATGGGTTAAACCTAAAATCAGATACATTTTGCAGGCAAAACGTCTAACCTATAACATCTGGTGGAATACTTTGAAAGGACTTTGAGAAATAAACAGTATAAAACTCAAACATATGACTTTGCACACAGATAAAACAATTGGCGCTCCTCATTTTAATTGGTTCCTTATTGATGAAGATGCTGATAAATATTGTAAACAGAAGAGACACTGGGAAACAAAAGACTGTGCTAATGCTACAGTTGTTAGGGGAACCCCCTTCCTGATATCTGATGCAGTTCCTCGAAGCAGGCCTCCTCCCAGAATCTGTCCTGAATTCCTTGCAGCTTGGCTCAGATGGCCTGATTGGAAACTGCAGCCTCCCCTTGGAGGTCCCCGGGCCAACTGTTGTCTAAATCATGGCTGATACGGGAGCACCTGCTTTGGAGCTGAAGCTCACAAGCGCTGCCAATCCTCTGCCTGCTGTCTTCTGGGCTCGATACACCCACAGCTGGGGCCAAGGCCCTGGGCCTCTCCAGGCGCCCCGGGGAGCCACTCGGTTTCGCACCTGGGTTCTCAGCCACCAACCTCAGCCCAGCGTTAGCTGGCTGAAGATCACTACGGAAATAAGGTGGTTAAAAAGAACATTAGAATTGAAAGAGAGCTTAGAGGATCTAGTCTTCTGCTCAAAATACAGTCTAGAAACAGCAACATTGGTGTCATCTGGGAGCTTGCTGGAGAGGTGGAATCTCAGGCTCAGCACAGGCCTACTGGGTCAGGACGTGCAGTTTAAGGAGGATCCCAAGTGTTCTGTGGGCACTTGATAGAAGCCCTGGTCTAGTTTAGCGGTTCTCAAACCTTGCTGCCTCTCAGAGCTGCCTGGGGAGCTTTAAAAAATGACCAGTGGAATAAAAATAAAGAATAAAAAAAGAGACAAGATTCAAAATAAATAAATGATAAAAATAAATAAAAAACTACCAGTGGAAGAGCCCTGTCCCAGACCAACAGAATCAGAATCTCTCCTAGACTGACTGGGCACTGGTTTTGTTGTTGTTTATTTTTTTTGTTTGGTTTTTTATTTAGAGTTTCCCAGGTAATTCAGATGAGTACCCGAGGCTGAGAACCACTGGCATCCCAACCCTTCTGTTTTAGAGAAGGGGACACAGAGGCCCAGAGAGGGGACGTGGCCTCCTTCTGGGGCCCCTGACTGCTGACAAAGAGCTTTCCCCATCCCCTCGTGCCCCCTCCACCCCGACCTGGGTCCCTTCTCATTGGCAGGCGAGCTCATGAGTCCCTCTTGAGTACTGAGACTTCCCAACATAGATTCCTGCAGCGTTGCAGTTCTTTTAAACAATGTGTCTGTTATTTGAAATATTAGAAACTCTTTAATTACCCATCAACAGGGGCGTGGCCAGGGAAGATGCAGTGGATACCATACTCCACAGTAAGAAAGAAGAATTTGGGCGGACCCGCACCTCGCAACAAAGCCTTTCGGGGTGTACCGTTGAGAGAAGAAACAGAGAAGCCCAGAGGTATGCGTGGTGAGAGCTATTTTTTGTAAAAAGAATACGAAAACAAAAAAAAACAACAACCAATAAAATACTATATTTATTTTATGGAAAGCTCCGTATGTGTATATATATATGTGAGCTCGTGTGTGTGTGCCCATGTAGGGGGATATAGAGGAAATTACCATTACTTAAGGCTTGGTGGTCAAGAGGCCAATAGCTTTAAGTTTTATTTATCTTTCCACATGGAGAATGTATTTTAA